AAAAAAGAATCAACCAACGTCTGATGTAGGCGAAGAGTAGAGGATCTGGTCGTAACCCGACTTGTAATCTATCATGACAGGCAAATTTTTATGGATTGCGGTGAGAAAATAATATAGCTATTTGTCATTTATTCATCCCTAACATTCGATGCTATTTTGGTTATATTCCGTAAGCCTCGATGAGGGAAACTTTCTATTTAATATCTCTTAAAAAAACAATCAATATCCTTTTTAAAAGATCCTAGGCACAAGGCACAAATATTGGAATTATTGACTTGGCAATAAAAATTTTGTTTTCCCTTGCTATTTTATACTGGTAGTAGTTCTTACTAAAGCTTCCCTCGTTTTTTTGCGCCGATTGGAAACTGAACATTATTGTATGAACTAAAACTTGCACTTCTTTTTTTTGTAAACCATATCATTCATAAAGTTCCCACGGAAACACTGGAAAGCTAGGGTCCTATCATTTACATTTGCATTAGGATTATTGCATAGTCATAGATTACTCAATACAGAGAAGCGAACCGAATTACAAGATTCCAAACGTAAAACAGGCGATCGGAAGGGTATTTAGCCTCAATTGAACATTGTGTTAATATCTACAACACGTGCGAAGCGACACGAACGATCGTTTAGCTAGAATTCTCGCTTCAAATTTCGAGAAAACTACTTTCTCCGTTACTTATACGATAACTTTTAAGTTGTTTTCCCTCTAAAATCCATCTTCAGGAGCTTTGAAATCGTTTTCAATTTGTTCTGGAATGTCCACCATTTCGAAGCGAAATTACTTGATCGTGCTAGAATCGTCATGTAGGCCATATTAGGTGTCCTAGCTCAACTCACCGAAACATTAACACATTAACCGGGACCACCGTGCGCGCCTAGTTCATTTATCCCCCTGGCTCGACTTTAAGCACATATCTTTTCCCTAAGTTATTTTAAGTTATTGTAATTTTCTTTGCAAATGTGTATTAAGTGTCAAGGGTAAATAAAACATTGTTGTTGTTGTAGTTGTCAAATAGGGATCGATTCGCATACTACAGATACTACCAATATTTCATTACTTCTTTATGCCCGGGGGTACTATTAATGCCTCCTCGGGTTTTAGCCATTGGTATATCCCTTTTATCACTTGTGCATTTGATTTCAATGACTGTCAAGTAGGTTGCTTGCAGGGTTTGTCCCCAGAGAGGTGGGGATGAGGACAACTGGAATACACTGATCGATAAAGCTTTGGGCCGGTTTGTATCCTATCCTCTACCTTTAAGGTGGCTCAAAATAGTTCCCAGCACATTCCAAAAAGTAGATTTTGATGGCTCATTATAATCACTCTTTGTCAGTTGAGGCTACAATCAGGGTATCAAAAAAGTCTGATCAATCCTTGGTGAACACGTTGGTAACAATTTCGTGACACAGCAGGTTACCATAGCAACAGTATGACCTGCTAAAACACTCTTAAGCTTAGATTGAATTACTCATATTTCAAAAATAGAACGGTGAAACCCTTTTTTATGAACGAATTTTTATAAGCAGGACAAGATGCAATTTTTGGCAAAGTCTAAAAAAATTCTGTACATTGGGCTCAGAGCCACGTTAACTTTTCACTCAGTCTTCGAACTACTTTCATGAATTTTTTATTTGTTCACTCTTTGCTTTATTACATGCTTTCTTGAGTTTCATTTCTATTCATTCCACCGATCATTATGCCCCATTCCGTGAAAAAGCTGCAAAACAAAAAGAGCAAAATAATTTTATTTAACTGGAAATTAGTAGCTGTTTGCTTTGTTGTGAAACGTATTCACTTTAAGCAATAAAGTACATTTAGCCATCAAACTCACTTCAGCTAATTAATTTTTCGAAACCAATGCAAAGTTGACATCAAAAGGAATAGTCGGACTTGAATCAAGTCAGAACAACAATTTCATCTTCGAATTACTGTCATTAAGTGTTTATTTTTCCTTTTTTGTTTTAATTCACGCGGCTAGTTGGGAAGCAAGCAAAACGTATTACCTTAGAGGCTTAAGTCAAGCGAACCGACATTAAAAGATCACTTCCAAGTCAGCAGTTTTTAACTGTAAATGATATTTAAACTAGTTCGTCTGGGCGAGAGTTAGTGAAACGTCTGTGGTACGAGTTTTAAAGTGGCCACATGGTCAGTAGAAATTATATATTTTCTACTTGTACCAAGGGTTTAATTTGTGCATCAGTACTTACTTTCGCTATAGGAGTTGCTTCTATATTTGCGAACCAATTGATTGAAGTTTGCTGTTACCGTTTCTTCTCCATTTGAAACCTTTATCTGGTATACAAACAAATCAAATATTTTTAAAGTCACTTTTAATCCGCTTTTAGGATATATAGAATGGGGTAAAAGTATACTTAAGTGTTTATATGTTTCTTTTGTAGGGAAACAAAAATCTATTTCCCGAAAATAATAGCCGGCTGTTATTTGGTCCCTACTACAGATACCAGTTTATAAACTTTCTAAACTACGTCACAAGAAAAAAGACTTTACCCGAAGTAATATGACAGTACCTTTTTAAGAGTCCAATCAACTCTCGTCTCTGGTTCTATCCAAATCCCCTTCAGAGTTCCCACGTTAACATCCTTGAAACTGGCTTTGATGACAAGTTGGTTTCTAAAAGGAAATTATAATCGGATATAATATGATATTGAATGAAAGTTCAATTAAAATTTTCTCTGCAGGTAACTGGAACAATTAGTTGCCTGCCTGGCATGAATAAGGTAGGTAAATAAAGTGTCCGTTCAAGCTTAGTGGCCCATGAGGCAGGTACTTAACTATCTCCGGTTACCATAGCATGAAGCAAGTATTTCTTTTCGGACTGGATGGGATGGTACTTCCTCGTTAAGTTTGAAAGTGAAGTTTTTCTATTTTAAATTCAAGTTATATTTACGTAATGTGTAACTTTTCTTTCTTTTATTTTCAGTTTTACACGACCACACAAGCTTGTTGCTTAAAGTATTATCGTGTATAAATAAAGGTCATCTATCTCTGCCTATCTGAAGAACCTGAAAGGAACCGGAATCACGTTTTGTTGGCGCGACTTCTATCGACCCTAAGAGGTATCATAACTTTCACAAATTTTGTTGCAAACGTATTTTGTTTCCAGTTTTAAACCCGGTTTACATTTCAACACAGTAGACTGTATCAAACCAGGAATGTTGTCCGCTAAAACGTGCGACGATCTTGTATCGGAATAGTCTCTCCCGGCTCCCGGCTCCCGCCCGCCCGTCACCTCGGCTGATTGCAGGATATATAAGGTTTAATAGAGAAAACAAAACCCTGGTGGTGTATGGACATTTGGGCGCACTTTTTTACGATTTCGTGCCTTTGTTTTCTCCTTACTTTATTTTCGATTGAGTAAATATACAAA